CTGAAATAATAAATTTTAAAAAAGAATTTTTTTTTTGGTCTTTTTTTGGTCTCCCTGTAGCCCCACCTGACTTGGAACTTGCTATGTAGACCTGGCTGGCCTTGGCCTGCCTCTGCCTCCCAAATGCTGTTACTAATGGTGTTCGCCACCTTGCACAGCTATATTTTTAAATTAAAAAAAAGATTTTTTTAAAATGTGTATACTGCCTGTAAGTATGTGAAGTGCACCCATGTTGTGCACTGCCTTGTGGATGTCAGAAGAGGGCGTCGGATCCCCTGGAAGTGGAGTTAAGGATGGTTTGTAGCCTCCATGTGGATGCTGGGAATTGAACCCAGGTCCTCTGCAAAAGGAGTCAGTGCTCTTAACCACTGGGCCATCTCTCCAGCCCCGGAACATTCTTTAAGATTGTGTGTGTGTATGCCCACTTGTTAGTGTATGCAGGTGGAGGGCAGAGGACATCTGGTGTTGGACCTCAAACTCTGCCTTGAGACAGAGTCTCTTTTTGCTGTCTTCTGGGGATTATCCTGTCTCCATCTTCTAACTGTCCTGAGTGCTGGGATTACAAATGCTCCTGCTTATGCATCTAGCAGCATCTAATCTGGGTATTTGAACTCAGGTCATTAGGCTGGCATGACAAGAACTTTTACCCACTGAGCCATCTCCCCAACCCAGAATAGCTTTCCAATTAAAAAAAGAAAAAAGATTATTTTGAGAGACAGGGTCAACTTTGCCTAATGTGATAATTCAGAAGGATTAAAAAAATTTTATTTTATGTGTATGTGTGTATTGCCTGCATGTAGGTGAGTGCATTCATGTCGTGCAATGCCCAAAAGGACAAAAGAAGCTGTAGGATCCCCTGGAACTGGAGTTACGGACAGTTGTTAGCTGCCATGTGGGTGCCGGGATTCAAACCCAGGTCTTTTGCAAGAACAACCAGTGCTCTTAACCACTGAGCCATCTCTCCAGCCCTCAGAAGGATTTTTAAAATCTGGTAAAGGGCCAGTGAGATGGCTCAGTGTGTAAAATCATTTGCACACAAGTCTGATTACCTGGGTTCAATCCCCAGAATTCAGTGGGAGAGATGTCCTCTGATCTCCACGTACTGAGTGCCTTTAAGTGCAAGTACGTGTGCAAACACACAGTGATAAAAAAAGGTTAAAAAAGGAGCTGATAAAATTAGTAAATATGAAGTCACTGGTGATGTTGGCAATGTTTGTTTTGTCAAGAGCAAAGAAGAAATGTCAAGACCTCAAAAGAGAAGACACGCTGTCTCAGAAATATGTGATACTAATCAGCTAGGCATTTTCAACTTTTCTTAGGCAAATGCTTTGAGAACTGTAAAGAATTAGAAGCCAGACTGGATATGACAGCTGCCTCCTAGCACTTGGGAGGCAGAGGCAGGTTGATCTTTGTGCGACCGAGGTCAGTCTACACAGTGAGTTCCAGGCCAGCTAGGGGCTATATAGTGAGACTTTGTCTCAAAAACCCAAACCAGCCCCCCCCCCCCGAAAATAAAAAATATAGAAATATAGCCAGGTGTGGTAGCAATACACCTTTATCTTTATTTTTTTGATCTTTTTGAGACAGGGTCTCCCTGTAGCTCCAGCTGACCTGCAACTCGCTATGTAGACCAGGATAGCCTTGAATGCAACAGATCCAACTGCTTCTGCCTCCCGAGCATGTAGGCCACCACGGCCGGCTCGGTTTTTTTCTTCTTTTTTGGTCTTTTTGAGGCAGGGTCTCCCTGTAGCTCCAGCTGACCTGGAACTCACTGTGTAGACCAGGCTGGCCTCAAACTTACAGAGATCCCCCTGTTTCTGCCACCCGAGTGCTGGGATTAAAGGTGTGAGCCAGCATGCCTGGCAGGTTTTGGTTTTTGAAAAATATTTCTATTATTTTTAGTTTATGTGTATTGCCTGCACGTGTCTAAGTGCACACGTGTTGTGCAATGCCAGCAGAGGTCAGAAGGCGGCGTCAGATCCCCTGGAACTGAAGTTACAGATCGTTGTTAGCCACCATGTGGATGCTGGGAATCAAACCTGGGTGCTCTGCAAGAGCAGTCAGTGCTCTCAACTGCTGAGCCATTTCTCCAGGCCACTTTTTTTTGGGGGGGGTGTCTTTTTTTGAGACAGGGTCTCCCTGTAGCCCCTGCTGGCCTAGAACTATGTAGACCAGGCTGGCCTTGAACTCACAGAGATCCCCCTGCCTCTGCCTCCCAAGTGCTGGGATTAAAGGCATGCACCACCACACTTGGCTTTTTTTTTTTAAAAACTTATTTTGCCTATGAGTGATAAACCTGTGTGTATGTAAGTGCACCCATGTAGTGTATGCTGAAAAGATCAGAGAAGGGTGTTGGATCTCCTGGAACTAGAGTAACCTCTGAGCCATCTCTCTAGTTCTCCACACTGGGCTTTTTAGATGGGTGCTGAGCATCAACCATAGGTCCTTAGGCTTGCCTGAGCTACCTCCCCAGTCCAGCTAAGAGTACTTTTAAAATTTTATGTGTATGAGTGTATTGCCTGTGTGTGAGTGCACCCATGTCATGCAATGCCTTGGAGATCGAAGAGGGCTTCGGGTCCTCTCCAAGAGTAATCAGTGCTCTTAATTACTGAGCCATCTCTCCAGCCCCACTAAGAGTTTTAGCCGGGCGTGGTAGTGCACACCTGTAGTCCCAGCACTTGGGAGGCAGAGGCAGGCGGATCTCTGTGAGTTCAAGGCCAGTCTGGTCTACATAGTGAGTTCTAGGACACCTGGGGCTACAGGGAGACCCTGCTTCAAAAAGACAAAAAAAAAAAAAAGTATTTTAAGTTTTTTTTCTGAACCTGATTTAGAACAGAAAAAGGTCATGCTTTCTACCCACAACTTTTTAGAACCTCTATATGCTATACATTTAAAAGGGTGCTTGGGTGTGGTGGCACATGCCTGTAATCCCAGCACTTGAGAGACACGGGCAGGAGGATCACGAGTTTAAGGCAAACCTTGGCTGTTACATAGCAAGTTTGAGTTTGGGATACTTGAGACCACTTCAAGAAACAAAACACAGTGCCATGACACCATATACAGCTCAACTGACAGCTTGCTTAGAGCCTGGATTTGATCACTAGGACCACACAAAATAGTGTGGTGGTATATGCCTGTGATCCCAGCACTTGGGAAGTGGAGGTAGGAGGGTCAGAAGTTGTCATTCTCAGCAACAGAGCGAGTTTGAGGACAGCCTGGGCTACACAAAGCCGGGTCCTCCAACTGGCTCAAATACTAGCATTCTCTGAAAAACTCAAGATTTTTCAATATTCTTTTATGTTATTCTGACAAGAAAGTAGTTTAAGAAGGAAAAAAAAATGGACATGGAAGTTTATTTCTAGCCCTGAAAGAACAAAATTATTCAGTCATCAAACAGCAGTTATTAACAATGTAACAGTTTTATGTGGGATTAAAAATAAAAGGCAATATAAAACTTGAAGATGAAACAGAAAACATAGGTGACTTTCACTTCAGTTTCTATCTACCAGAACAAGAGTGGAAACCCATGCATTCCAGCTAACTGTCTTCTTGATGTGAAATGAAAACGTGACGGGACTATCCATTCTTTCTGCTCTTTTCTTGGTAACAGTGGTGAATGAAGAAAATTCCAGTTCACGGCCAGTCCAGTGCTCGATTCTTCTAATGCTTACATTAACTAGCAGAGCATCTTTGCCACAGTTCAACAAATGCACTGAGAGGAAAAAAGCACATGTGGCTCTTTCTTACACACGTTCATGTGCTATGGAGAAATTGTTTAAATGTCTACTAGAGGTACAGTGGAGACAAGGACGGGCAGTCTGCCTTTTATATTACTGGAGATTCCGTAATAAAAATCAAGAAAGACTTAACCAAATTTTAACTATGATTTTTAAAAATTTTATTTGAAATTAAAAAATACTGTCAAATAGTGGCCTAGATAATTTCTTTTTTTGCTGGAGCTAGCATCAAGCTCAGGGCTTTGTACATGCTAAGCAAGTGATTCACCAATGAGCTCCACTTCCAGCCCCAACAACTACAGTCCATAATGACATCTGAAACAAAATATTATTGCATTTATTTATGTGAGTGTCTATGTGTGTGGGAGTGTGTGTGGAGGTGAGAGGACACCATGTACATCCAGGGGTCAAACTCAGGTCCTCAGGCTTGGTGGAAAGTGCCCTTACCCACTCGCTGTCTCCTTAACAACACTGACATTTCACTGGCTACAGATTTCACTGTGTTTTTAAAATTTTCAGATTAAAAAACCTGATGCAAACTGTTCAAAGATCTGCTTTTTCTAACTACAACTACTGCCTGATGAGATCTAGAAGTATTTTGGGAAGAGTTCATACTCTGATCTAGGAACTCAATACATGACGGGCAGAGCCGTGCCAGACATCGTGTTGTACACTACTCTCACTTCATGGTTTCCCAGCTGTACTTTCCCCAAAAGCAGCAAAAGGAATGAGACGATACTTTGGGACCACCACAGTCTATAATATAATAAATAAGCACTACAGTCATATTGTCCTAATACCACGAGAGGACTACTCATGCGATTTCAATGGGAATTCTTATTCTAAAGAGATGACAAAAAGAACGATGAAAGGAAATCATTAAAAAGACACGAACTTCAGTTCGTATATAACTGTCTTTCAACAAGATATCAATATTTTAATTTAAAAATAACTAATAAATCACAATTCTATATTGCTTTTAAGATTATTTTGTTTAAAATGACACATTTCGAAATTAACCAAAGCATATTTCCACTACGGGTTAGTTTACCCAGGTAAGTAAAGAATAAACAACAGTGCAGCTCCCTTAACCTAAGAGTCAGGTTCTAATGACAAAGTCCGTTGCCAGCAATGGACATGCAAGTAACCATCCAAGAACTTGTAAATAAAAATCCCAAACTGCTTATGGAAGTCACAGCATAAAGCGGGGGCATTAGCATGTGTCTTAGGAATGTGGCCCCTGTGACTTGGGATGGAAGTGCCTTCTTGAGTGGCCATGAGCCTAAGTGTCACCATCTACTACTTGGCTTTCTATTCCATCAGCAACATCTTCTTTATCATAATCTACCCAGACAACTGTTTACAAACAATGCTCATATGTGGGAACTCTTCCCACCAGAAATAAAACAATTTGTTTCCGTGTTTGTGATAGTTGTACAAGGCCAAACACAGCCCAGAGAAAAATGAAATCAAGAACCACATGGAAAATAGACCGTAAGTGATCCAGTTGTACATTTCTGTTTCTTCATTTTTCTGAAACATGTTTCTGTGTTATCAAAAAGCCCAGTCATCTCTTCCTATACCTGTATTTTAACACAAGTACAATGGGGGGAAAAGAAACCTTGCCCGTTTTCCCAAATTACTCAAAAGAGCAAACTTAGTTTTATTCATTATTTGTACTATGCAGAATGGCAAGGAGTCAAGTTTGTTGAAGGGGATGGTGAGGACAAACTCCAGAAGCAACCACCGATGGCCCCAGGCACACAGAATGGACAATAGCTCCTGCACAGCAACACCACAGCCAGGAGAGGCAGAGAAATGGGGGGAAGGGGGACAGGAGGAGAGGGTTACACAGGTCACAGACCTTTTATTATATCTTTAAAATAAAAAAGTATTACTATCAATAAGCACATTTCAGTTTTCTTTCTCCAGTTTTTTACATGAACACTCTTAACTCATTTGAAAAAACAAAAACTAAAGTAACCCATAATCTCAAATGACCCATGAATCTATCAACAAGTACTTTGTTATTTCAGTTCTCATTGACAGTAAAACATTGATAATACGTTGGGAACACCGTAAATTAAGACAAATCTTTTTAGTTTACTGGTCATAAAATGATTCTAAATTTCTAGAATACTGACACTTCTCTTTCATCATTCTAACTACTTTAGAATTTATCCAAGTTCAAGTCTCTCACTTGTTTTGTTAGCCCCAAATATTTTTTCCTTCTAATTATGAAAAAAGACCTCAACTTTTAAATTCTGAAAATCCTCAGGGTGGAGGGAATATATGTGAAGTGAGACAGGGCTGATTAAAACCAAAACCTACACCCCAAATTGCAACATATACAGAAACTTATTTCTAAATGCAAAGCGGAGGGAGTGGCACCAAAGTCATGAAGCCCAAATTAGAACAAGAACAAATCACTTTGGTTCCTAAAGGCAAATCTGAGGAGAAACAAACAGAAAGGAAGACAAAATGGTAAGAATACAGTCAGCGGGATTCTTTCTCTGTATCAATGATTTAGTTATAAATATAGATTATTAGTCCTCTTTCTATACATGTAAGAAATGGCAAACTCACTACCATGAATTTCTAAAACTGACTCTTTCACATTTGTTAAAAAAAGGTAAAACACACACTTTTCTTCCCCTCCCTTCAGTTCAGGTTCTGAACTGAAATATTACATGTAACAACAGCTGGTCCTAACTTCTACAAAAAGTTAAAACATGTCAAACTCCTTTGCCAATATAAAGAGCTATATAATTTCTATCACACTTGCCTTGAATTTAGGCCTGAGAAAAACTTTAAGCAACTAACTCAAGAAGAGCAAGTCCAAGAAAGGGAAACTATGAAGGAGAAAAGACCAGCAGATGAAATACTAAGAAAAACTCGAATCTGACATTCAAGTATTGGAAATACCCCAAAGGAGACAACGACTGGGATCTACAGTAACAAAGTCATCAAAGCTGTATGCAAACGTCAAGCACTGTAGGGTGAGTGGCCCAGCAGGCTGCCTGCTGGGAGGTAAGGCAAGTGATTCAGCTCACAATTCCTTTTGGACCCTAAAGCAGGGGTTCAGCTGAAAGTCAGAATTCTCTATTGCAATTTTCTCTTGGTTGTCTTCAGAAAATAGTAGTTTGCTTGTCTTTTGTTTTGTTCTCTCTCCATGTGGTGTAGACCATCTCTTTAAACCCCCAAAGAATGATAATTTTCACATATGAAAAGACTTCCTTAGAAAGCATCTGCAGCGACAGCAAGGACGCTAGCGGTTGCTCTTCATTGCGTCCTTAGCTGCCATAATCAGAGGCGTCAAGCTAGCTAATGGTTTGGCCAGTTTCAGGAAGGGATGCTGTATGGAAAAGAGGACAAAAGAAGGTCATAAATGTTACAGTTTAGAAACAAAGCATTTTCTTTCCACTAAGTCCCAAAGACTATCTATGGATCAGTACTAAACAAAACATGGATTTCAATTCCTACCTAAAATGTCCATACTCCATAAATCACTTTTACAGCTTAAAAGCAGAGCTGTTGTTGTGTGTATGAACTTGTGTGTTGTGTTCATATTTGTGTGCATGATATGCTGGCACATCAGATGTCTTCCTCATCAATCTATACCTTATTTTTTGAGAGTCTCTCACTGAACCTGGATAGCTGGCCAGCAAGTTCCAGTGATCTGCCTATCTCTACCTCCTCAGCACTAGGGTTCCAGACTTACAGTTACACCTGACTTTTTTTTTTTTTTTTTTTTTTGGTCTTATTGAGACAGGGTCTCCCTGTAGCCTCAGCTGGTCTAGAACTCACTATGTAGACCACGCTGGCCTCCAACTCATGGGGATCTGCTCGCCTCTGCCTCCCAAGTGTTGGGATTAAAGGTATGTACCACCACGCCCAGCTACATCTTACCTTTTATGTGGGTTCTGGGGACCGGAACTTAGGTTCTCTTGCTTGTACAGCAGGCACTTTACTGACTGAACCACACCCCCAACCCCAAGCCCTATTTTTGACTTCTTGAGATAAGGGCTCATTACGTACTTCATACTGGTCATGAACTCACAGCAATACGCCTGCCTCAGTTATTTATTTTGTGTATGGCTCTGTGTGATTGTGTGTGCTTGTACCCTCATATGTGAAGGTCAGACAACAACCCACAGGAGTTGGCTTTCTCACTCCATGTGGGCCCTAGGGATCAAACTCAGGTCATCAGACTTGATGGTAAGTGCCTTTGTCCACTAAATTTCACCAGCTTGCAATAAGCTTTCCTAATTGCATAAAATGTACAGATTTAGGGGGCTAGGGATGTAGCTCAGAAGACAGCGTACCTGCCTATCATGCATGAAGTCTGGGGTTCAATCCCTAGCATTGCATAAAATCTGGCATGATGATGCATCTCTGTAATCCCAGCACATGGGAGATTCAAAGTCATTCTCCAATCTTAGTTACATTTGTGAGTTGTAGGCCACCCTGGGCCACATGAGACCATGCTTCAAAATAAATAAACATTTAAGGCCCACAAATATACTTATGCCAGCACTGAACAGGTCCAAGAGTTTCTAATTATAAAAACTCACTATAATAATAATAATTTTTTTTTTTTTTGGTCTTTTTGAGACAGGGTCTCCCTGTAGCCCCAGCTAGCCTGGAACTCACTATGTAAACCAGGCTGGCCTCAGAGATCCACCTGCCTCTGCCTCCCCGGTGCTGGGACTAAAGGCGTGCACCACCACACCCAGCTATGATAATAAAATTTTAAGTGCCAAAGAGATGGTTTGGTGGGTAAAAGCATTTGCTGCCAAGCTTGACAACCTGAGTTTTATCCCTGGGATTCATATTGTTGAAGGAGAAAACTGAGTCCTGCAAGTTTCCTCCTACATCCATACATGTCTGTCTGTCTGTCTGTCTCACACACACACACACACACACACACACACACACACACACACAGAGTAATTAAAAGAAAAAAAAATATTGCCAGGGCTAGAGATGGCCCAGCAGTTAAGAACACTGGCTGCTCTTGCAAAGGACCTGGGTTCAGTTCTCAGTACCCACATGGCAACTAACCACAGTCCATAGCTCCAGTTCCAAGGATCCAATGCCCTCTTCCAGCAATCCTAGGGTACTGTATACATGTGGTGAACTTACATACATGCAGGCAAAACACTCATACACATAAAAATAAAAAATTTATTGCCAGCAAATAAAACCTTAAAATGCAGTAGCTGCTTTACTCTGGTGGTCAGCGAATAGGGAAGTATTATTATTACTCTGAAAACTTTCTATTCATAACTCAAAAAATCAACTTTACTAAATTTACCTGTAACAGTTCTTTGGCTGAACCTCTCTTTTCCACATCCATTTCCAAACATCGATTTAAGAAGTCCCGAAATATTGGAGAAAGCTTCTCTGGATTCTGAAGTTCAGGGGTTCCATTAGTTGCTATCAGGTACAGTGCCTGAAAACAGAGTATTTTGACATATTTAATTAAGGTCTTGCAACAAAACAGTGTTATTTCCTTTCCAGGCCTCATCATGCTCACCAGTGCCCCCAAGTGGTAGCGTTTTCCTCTCCACAACTCAAGGTCCAGAGGTCAAGTGTGTTCTCTGCTCTCAAAGATAGATCTTCACCACCTACCTCTTAACTCACTCTCTCTAGGCTACTCCCCCTCACTCCTTCAATACTATAGCTCTTTGCACTGTGATCTCTAATTACTCCCATCCTAAGCTGTGGCAATTTTAATAGCTACAGTGATGCATATTACATTCCCAGACCTCTTCTCCCTAGATGCTTCCTCAGCCATAGGTTTATGGTCACACCCTCTATCTTTATCAGCACTAATAACTACACTAAATGACTCTTGTCACTTCTAGTACCCGAGGCCCACAATTCTACAACTACACTAAGCTCTATGCCCCACCACTCCCTTTGCGGTGGGGGGGGGGGCGCTATGTACTGGGGATTGAATCCAGGGCCTTGTGTTTGACAGAGAAGCACTCCACTACTGAGCTTCATCCCCAGCCCATATTACTTCCCTGAGCTTTTATTTCAAAGCACTGGCTTAGTGTAGTTAAAGCTCTGCCCACTTCTTCCCTAAGTCTATGTAACTGGGGGGCGGGGGAGAGAAAAAGAGAAAGAAGCAAAATTATGCTGACTGACATCACTTAGAATTGACATCTGCTTAAACTGGGCATAGAATCTATCCTCTCCAGAGGCAGAGGCAGGAGGATCACCACAGTATGAAGCCAATTTGTTCTACAGAGCAAGTTCAAGTTTTAGGTCAAACAGGGTTTAATCCTAGGCTGCTCCCACAAGTAAAAATGAAGTAAAAATAACACTCAGCCTCATACAGGCTTAGTGCTCCCAACAAATGTACTGAATTCCCTTCTCCATTTACTCTCCTTTTCCTGTTCCAAGATATATTAAATTTCTCATTATGAGACTAAAACTAAGATCAGTGGAAAAAGTGCTATTTTCCTTGTATCATATCCAAGGCACATGCTAGTAAACAACCAACCTCCCTCTCTCCTTCCCCTACCCTGTCCCTTGAGATAGGATCCTGCTATGTAGTTCTAGCTGGCCTGCTACTTGCTATGTAGCTGAGACTGGCCTCAAACTCATAGCCATCCTCCTGTCCCAATCTCTTGAGTGCTGGATTACAGGTGTGAGCCTGTAGAATCTCATCCCCTTGGCTAATGGAATATTTAGCTGACAGTCTACTCTTGAGTATGGGTTTTACCATTACCATTTATACATTTTTTTTCCCCTCAGAGATCTAATACTATTATTATTCCCCTCTGTCCTTGGGGCACAGAGGCCAAAGTTCAATGGTGATAATCTTGCTGTAAATAATCCAGGGCACCTGAATGAGTACAAAAAGGCACCTACTGGTCTGGGGATGTGGCTCAGCTGGTAGAATCCTTGTCTAGCATGCACAGAGCAATGGGTTCGATCCCCAGCACTGAATAAAACCAGGTATGGTGGGATATATTAGGGTTTCAAACCACAGCAGCCCTCCCCATCCCCAACAGGGCTTCATGGACTTCGCAAGCCCCTGAGAAAAGGGAACCGAGCTGATAAGCACCCTGGTCTTTGAAGTCAAGAGAAGCAGACTTTTCTCCACTGTTTAGTGAACACAGCAGGCTTCCCCTTTGATCTCTAAAGAGGGCAGGTTTTATTGGTCCCACCCCCCCACACCCGTAAAAATTGTATATATATATCTTCCTGCCTTCTGCATCCTCCCAGACGCCTCCCCTTTAAAAGACCCCAGCTCACGACCCGGGCAGACATTTTCCCTGCCTGGAAGGGAATCTGTCCCATGTGTTCCTTTGCTAATAAACTATTCTGATGGAGTTTTATCCGTGTCCTGGTGCTTTCTCCTGATCAACCGGATGCATCTATGGCCTACTTTACCTATCAGGATACATCTGTACTCCCAGCACTTGGACGGTGGAGGCAGGAGTATCAAAAGTTCAAGGTCATCCTCAGATACAGAGCAAGTCCGAGGCCCAGCTTTGGCTTCAAGAGACCCTGTATCAAAAATGCCACTCTATAAAAAACAAAATGCACCTATCTAGGGTATCTCTGTAGAAAGGTGAGTACATTCTTATAAGCAAAACCATCATTTACTACTAAAAATCTACAAACTTGTAACTGTCTATAACTCAAGAATAGAATTTTCAGATGCAGAGTAAGGGCAGAGATTACATTTTACCAACTGTATTCTAAATTCTTGTTCAGGGCTGGAGACATGGCTTAGAGGTTAAGGTTCTTGCAGAAGACCTTGGTTTGGTTCCCAGCATGCATATGGCAGCTAACAACTGTCCATAACTCCAGTTCCAGGGGATCCGACCCTCTCTTCTGACTGCCAAGGGCATTGCACAACACATGTGCATTGACATATATGCAAGCAATATACTCATACACATAAAACAAAAATTATAAAAAAAATATTAAATTACTGTTCAATGCTTGACACAAAAGTGCTAAGTATATTTTAAAGAAAATTTTTCTTGGGTCAGTAAGATGGCTCCAGGTAAAGGTAGTTGCTGCCATATCTGACAACCTATGTTCAATCCTAGAATCCACAAAGTAAAGGAGAGAACTCATTCTCACAAGTGGTCTTTTGACCTTCACACATTTCTGTGGCACTAGGCCCCTATAAATAAATAAATGCAAAAAAAATTTTTTTTACAATAGAAAACAAAGCATTGATTTTACAGTAAGGCTAGGTTTTCATTGGTCTTACCCGTAAGGGATTTTCATTGAGGTATGGAGGCTCTCCTTCAACCATCTCAATAGCCATGATGCCCAGAGACCATATATCAACCTTGGGGCCATAGGCTTTCCGTGTAACCACCTCTGGTGCCATCCAGTATGGCGTTCCAACCATAGTACTGCGTTTGCTTTGCTCAGGGGTGATCTGGGCGCAGAAACCAAAGTCAGCTATGAAACAAAACAAAGCATCCAGAGTTAAAGGCTTTTAGGGATGGGTCTGTCAAAAGTTGACTTTGGGAAGACATGTTACATCTTAACTGTTCAGGCTCTGTTTTAATTTTTTTTGGTGACATGATCTCTTGCAGCTTCAGAAGGCCTATGTAGACCAGGCTGGCCTCCATCTCAGAGACCAGCCTACCTCTGCCTCCCTAGTGCTGGGATTGAAGGCCAGAGCCACCACACCTTGCCAGCCTCTTGTTTTTAAAGAATTTAAAAATAAAATAGGATGCTTAAAAATTGAGGATGTAATTTACTAATACTTTTTACTTTTATTTCCCATAACATTGCACAAATTTTCAGGTATTTTTATTCTGAATAATTCTAAAAAAATTTAAACTGAAGTCTTCAAAAAAAAAGAAAATCACCAAAGGTGAACAATATATCTAAATGCAATGAATCAGGCAAAGCCTGTGACACGGAAACTATGTGTTTTTTTTTGTTTGTTTGTTTTGGTCTTTTTGAGACAGGGTCTTCTGTAGCCACAGCTGGTCTGAAACTCACTATGTAGACAAGGCTGGCCTCAATCTCATAGCCAGCCTCTGTCTTCAGAGTGCTGGTATTAAAGGTATATGCCATGTCCAGCCCAAAGATTATGTGTTTTTTAAATTATTTTTAAAAAATTATTATTTTTCTTTTATGTATATGCGTGTATTGCCTGCATGTAGGTAAGTGCACCTGTGTCATGCAATGCCTGTGGAGGACAGAAGAGGCTGTCGGATCCCCTGGAACTGGAGTTATGGACAACTGTTAGCTGCCGTGTGGGTGCTGAGATTGGAACCCGGGTCTTCTGCAAGAACAACCAGTGTTCTTAACTGCTGAGCCATCTCTCCAGCCCAACTATGTGTTTTTTAAAAAAACACTTTCTTTAAATATTTCTTTTTGGGGGGGGGCATGAAGCACAGCGCATGCATAGAAGTCAGAGGATAACTTTTGGGAACTGGTCCTCTCCTTCCATTTTGTTTTCAGGCAGGGTCTCTTGTTTTGCTGCACTGCATACTCCAGGCTAGCTGGCCCACAGGCTTGAAGGCAATTGTCCTGTCTCTGTCACCTGTCTAGCTATCAGTGCTAAGATCACAGATGTATATCACCATACCCAGCTTCTTTTACATGGGATCAAACTTAGGCCACCAGGTTTGCACAGCAACCACCTAACCAGGGCTATCTCACTGGCTCCCGAGCTACTTTTAAGAATTTAAAATCTGGGGCTGGAGAGATGGCTCAGTGGTTAAGAGCACTGACTGCTTTTGCAGAGGACCCGGGTTCAATTCCCAGCACCTACATGGCGGCTACAAACCATCCTTAACTCCAGTTCCAGGGAAATCCGAAGCCCTCTTCTGACCTCCGCAGCATTCCACAACATGGGTACACTCACATACATGCAGGCAATACACTCATACATATAAAAAAAAATTTAAAAAGTAGAGGGCTATTGGAGAAAGCTTTTTTTCTGGAGAAAGTTACCATGTTCCTAGGCCTTCAAGTACTGACTAAGCCATCTATCTCCCCAGCACCTTAGGTCACTTATTGTTAGACATTTGGTTACAACAGTGAGAAAAACTGACAGTACTAATGAAGCCAGAAGATGGATGAAACCAGAGATCATCATAATGAAATATTAAAAAAAAAGAGAGAGAATTTAAAATCTAAGCACCTGATGGCACATTCTTGTAATCTCAATTCTTAGGAGTTCAAGGCAAGAGGATTAGGAGTTTAGATCACCCTTAGCTACATATATAGTTTAAGGACAGCTGGGATATACAACACTGTCTCAAAAACAAGAAAAAGGTGTGGCAAGGGGCGGGGCATAGACACAGTACTAGCTTGACAAGCAGGAGGCTCTGGGTGTGAAACTAGTGTGGTAGCACATACATACCCGTCATTTCAGCACTTGGGAGGCAAAAGAAGGGGAACTGCTACAAGTTTCAGGTCAGCCAGGGCTATATATATTCAGCCAGCTAAGGATACACAGCAAATCCAATCTCAAAAAGAACAACAAACAAGCAGGGTGTGTTGGCACATGCCTTTAATCCCAGCACTTGGGAGGCCGAGGCAGGCAGATCTCTGAGTTCAAGGCCAGCCTGGTCTATATAGTGAGTTCCAGGCCAGTTGGGGCTACAGGGAGACCTCAAAAAAGACAAAAAAAACCCCCCCAAAATAAACAAACAAACAAAAAAACATGTTTTGACCATTTGGTTATCAATTAATATTTAGAGAATGTAACTTGGGGGAGGGGAATAGGGAACAGGGCCCTTAACTGAGCAGATTAAGAAAAAAAAAAAAGGTTTTAGTTTATTGATTGAAGATAAGACTTTGAATTTGGTGTTGGAAAAATCTTAAGTTAGTCTTGAGTCTGAAGGGCATAATTGGAACTGAGGGATTATGGCGACAGAGGAAAAAAGTTTGGATTTGTTTCATAACTTTCCTGTGTCTGATAGACAAGAGCATTAGAAAAGAGTTTTTCATGTTATCCCTGAGGTCAAGGTCATATAGTACCCCGAGTAGGCTAGCTCTACAAAGTTCCAAAGGAGCTGAGGAAGAGAAAAACCACTCCCAATAAATGATACATTCAAATTTGTCTCCATAGAACATGATCAATAAATATAGCTGTTTCTTAGCACTTCACTTTTTTGTTGTATTTTACATTTTATTCTCCAAAAATAATTCCCTGTATTTGAATTTTCCTTACTGAACATGTAAAGAGATGAATTGGCTCAAAATTACTCAGCAAGTAGTAAAAGATTTGTTATTTAAACACAGGCTGTCCAGTAGTTCACAGCCAGCATTTAACAGATTCCTTCTCCCTTTCACATAGTAAACCACAAACATATTAACAGAAGAGTTCTTTTAATTGACTAAAAGGCAAGGAATTACCATAACAAACAAATGCTACTCCATTAGCTACTCACTAAGTTTAACTGAGCCTTCCATTCCCAAAAGCACATTGTCACTTTTGATGTCTCTGTGGATCACTTGATTAGCATGTAAAAACTCCAAGGCCTGTAAACACTGAACAGAGAAAACACTATCAATCAAACACATCTAAGGGAAGTTACATATAGCAGCTAAGGCACCACTCTACAGGATTTAATACAGCCTTTTATATGTAAAGTAAGGAAAAAAACCCTCTAGCACTGGAAGGCTGAGACAGGAGAATAGAGTTCTAGAACAGCCCAACCTAGGCTACAAAGCAAGACCCTGTTAAAAAAACAACCATCAATAATAATGGTCTTCAAAGCAAGACTTTCCATACTTTGATCTCATTTGGAGACACACTATTTTTGAACACAGGCTCTCTATAGCCCAGGTTACCCTGGAACTCACTATGTAGCTGAGGATGACCTTGAACTCCTGATCTTCCTGCCTCTACCTCCAGAGTGCTGGGATTATAGGAATAGGCTACGACACCAGGATGTAATATTTATTAACTAATGTCTTATTATCTGTTTTCTCAGTTTTTTTGTGCCTGAGGCTGGCCTGGAACACTCAGTAATCCTGCTGCCTTACCCTCCCAAGGGCTGGAATTACAGGCATCATTCAAAAATTTTATTTTTTATTTATTTATTTTTTTGAGATAGGGTCTTCTTGTAGTCCCAACTGGCCTGGAACTTGCTATATAGACCAGGCTGGTCTTGAACTCACAGAGATCCACCTGCTTCTGCCTCCCGAGTGGTAGAATTACAGTCATGCACCACCACGCCTGGGCTTGATTAAAAAATTTTAATCATGGGTATATTTTAATCATGGGTATATAGAGGCCAGAAGAAGGGCATTGGATTCCCTGGAGCTAGAGATACAGGCAGTTGTGAGCTACCTAATGTGAGGGAACTGAACTCAGATCCTCTGGAAATGCAGAAGCACTCAACCACTGAGCTCTCTCTCCAGCTCCCTTTACCATTGATTTTTTAAACTTAGTCTCCAGCAGCCTCATTTATAAAGCACATTCATTCAAAAAGAATATGCCTACACACATAGGTTCTTTAGAAATTATTTCAATGTTAAGAATGAACTTGATTATTCCCACTAGAATACAAGATACTTCAAAGTGGTAAGAAAAGTTTTTGGAGGAGCTGGAGGGATTGCTCAGTTGTTAAGAGCACTAGTTGTTCTTGCAGAGGACCTGGGTTTGATTCCCAGCACTTACATGGTGGCTACCAACTGTCTGTAACTCCAGTTCCAGGGGAATCCAACACCCTCTTCTAACCTCCACGGATATTACACAACACAGGTGCATTTACACACATGCAGGCAATACATTCATACACATAAAATTTTTAGTTCGGCATGATGGCGCATGCCTGTAGTCCCAGCACCTGGGAGGCAGAGGCAGGTGGATCTCTGTGAATTCAAAGCCTGCCTGGTCTACATAGTTGAGTTCCAGGCCAGCTGAGGCTGCAAGGGGACCCTGTCTCAAAAAGACAAAAAAAAAGTTTTTTAAAAAAAGTTTTTGGAGCTGGAAAGTGGTTAAGAGCACTTGCAGCTCTTCCAGAGGATGCTGGTTCAGTTCCCAGGACACACATGGTGGTTCACACCTGCCTGTAACTCTAGTTCTTCTGGTCTCTGTGGGCACCAGGCATGCACACTATACACATACATACATGGAAAAACTCACAGATAAACATTACACATAAAAAAAATAGAATGAAAAAATTCTTATTTTCTTCCTTGAACCAAAGGAACGGAATTCAATAATCAGATAATAGTACTTTCTAAGAATATTGTTTCACCCTGGAAAACTGAAAAAGACATTATACATGCAAAGTCTCCAATTACTGTTCTATCATTGCAGAACTGCCGAAAGCCAAATTATAGAGAAGATAGTACGAACTTATTACTTCTCAGTCTTCTCACTAAGATCAGGTGTAGTCCTATGTGCTTTCACAATTTTGTCCTTTATGTTAATGAGTTCTATAATGAAACAAAGCACCGCCAGTTTCAATGACAAGAAGCAAACCACCATCCTCAATTTTTGGCTGCAGAAAAAGATACAGAGAGAAGGAACACTTGTTTTTGGCTTAGACTTTGGCAAATTCTACTGGCAATAGAAAGAATGGTCTGGTGAGATGGTTCAGTAGGTAAAGGCATTGGCCACCAACCTGAAGACTTAAGTTCAATTCCCCAGACCCACAGGGTGGAAGGCGAGAACTGACTGAACTGAACTGCAGTTGTTCTCTTGACTTCTACACATACATACATACACACACACATACAAGAAAATTTAAATGTTAAAAAAAAAAAAAATGTTAGCCAGGCTTGGTGGCACACACCTTTAATCCCAGCACTTGGGAGGCAGAGGCAGGTGGATCTCTATGAGTTTGGGGCCAGCCTGGTCTACATAGTGAGTTCCAGGCCAGCTGGGGCTACAGGGAGACCCTGTCGCAAAAAGACCAAAAGA